TTATTATGGCATCAAAAATGTTTTGGGGGGGCTGGAGAGATAGCTCAGTGGTTAAGAGCACTGGCTGCTCTTACAGAGGACCTGGGTTCTATTTCCAGCACCCACTTGGTGGCTAACAACCACCTGTCACTCCAGTTCTAGAAGATCTGAAGCCTTCTTCTGACCTCTGAGAACATTGCACAACATGGATGCAGTACACTCACACATAAAATAAAAATAATAAAATACTAAAGTGTTTTTGCTCTCTCCTCCCCTCCTCCTGTCCCTGCCCACTCCCAGGAGCCTCTTGTCCAATTTCATGTCACATGTGACCTTTGCCCTCTTGCTCCCCTCTTGTGGTCTCTGATATAGTTCCACAGTCTTTTTAAAAAATATTTTATATTATTTTAATTTTATGTGTATGGATATATTGCCCGCATGTATGTAAGTGCACCTGTGTCATGCAATACCTTTGGCAGTCAGAAGAGGGCATCGGATCTCCTAGAATTGGAGTTATGAATAATTGTTAGCTGCCATGTGAGTGCTGGGAATCAAACCCAGGTCCTCTGCAAGAGCAGTCAGTGCTCTTAACCACTGAGCCATCTCTCCAGCCCTAGTTCCACTGTCTTTATCCACGCTCTACCACCCCTTATTTACACACATGCAAACACTAAAGGTCGGGATCTGCATAGGAGAGAGGACATTGCTACTCCTGCAGTTGACCTTCCTTCAGTGCACTGTTAGTTCCTTTGCCTACGGCCTCTTTCTCTCTGTGAACCTAGAGATTCAGTTACTGAACTCAAGTGAATTTGACTCTTAAATCAACTTTTTTCATCTTCTCCATGGAACTTTCTGGGTAATGTCCCTTTATGTTCTCACTCTAAAACATCACTCACTCACAGGGTACCTTTTCATCAATAACACCTAAAAATAACAGCTAATGTTTACTAAAAATGTCACTGTTCTAGACAGTTCATAAGAATACATTATTTTAGTTTTCAGCATAATCCAACAAAGGAAATTTTGTTTTAAAATCTCTATTTCACAGAAGAAAGAACCTGAGATGCTGTGAGGGAGGTAACTTGCCATGACCCTCTAATGACTACTGTTAGGACCAGGGTTTATAGCCACTAGGCTGCTGGACTTCAGAATCCACAGTTTAATAACCTGCTTGCCTGATATATCTCCTGCCCCTGTCACTGTCTTTCCCTACCATTCTGCAAACAAATAAATAGACTTTGGACACTACTGGCACAAAGTTAGATATTTTAGTATTTTATTATAAACTATCTTCATATATGTAAAATATCTTACTCCATGGTTCTAATACTAGGAGGAATTAATTTTTGAAGTCTTTTTGAATGGCCCGAGGTACTTAGTACAAAGAGCTGAGTTACTCAAATGATATCTAAGAAATGCTGGGTAGAAGGAGAGAAGACTGGCTATATCCTTATCTAATCTGCACCCTTATCTAATCTAGGAGCTCAAGTGGCTCAGGCCACAGACTCTTATTCCTTCACAACTTTCCTTTTTCCTAGGTTAGTAATCTGAGTCTTGGTTTCTTCAGAGTGGGGAATGGTTATTGGGGTTTGGAATGAAAGGTAGCCTTACCCTGGGTCAGTTGTCTGGCTGGCTATTCCCATAGGCTTCAGAGCATGGTTCTTTTGGAGAGCTGAGGCTATCAGGGAGGGACAGAGACACTGTATCACCAGGCTAGCACCCTGGCTCCACTCCCTAGAAACTAACCTAACTAGAACAGGGAGATGCAAAAACTTGTGTTTTAATGCTGTAGGAACACCTAACAGTGATGTAAAAAATCAACAGAATGCAATCAAATTAATGTCATACGTTGTCTGGATAGAAGGATATTGGAAGGCTTTTCTTTTCTGATCTGATTGGATCAAACCTATGATAATCTGTTTTAATTCCAATGTTTTTTTTACTTTTCTATTAGTTCTGCATGTGGTGCTGGGGATTGAACTTAGGACCTTGTGTGCTAGGCAGGTACTCTGACACTGAGCTACATCCCTAGCTCCTAGAACTTTTTCTTTAGAAGATCACAGACAAATGAAATCATAAACCAGTGACCCAGAGTCATCTAGGCACTAATTTGTTTGTAAATATAGTTTTATTTTCTCTGTGCCAGACCTTTGTATGGGTATTGGGAAAATCCTGGGGTGGTGGGGAGGGGAGAGGAAAGATTTTGGGGGCTATGGTGAAAAAGTTTCAAAGTAAAATAACTCCTGGGAGTGGTGGCACACACCTGTAATACCAGCACTCGGGAGGCAGAGGCAGGCAGATCTCTGTGAGATTGAGGCTGGCCTGCTCTACAAATCGAGTTCCTACAAAACTGACTGGGGCTACAGGGAGATCCTGTCTCAAAAAGACAAAAACAGAAAGAAAACACCTTTTGAGCCATGAAGAGGGAAGAAGGACCTGTTTTACGTATATGACCCCCACAAATAAGGCTGTGGCCAACAGGTTAAAATTATAGCAAGGTGTATTTGAGTTACTAGAATAAATAATTGTCTAAGGATGAACTGTTTTTCTCAAGGCAATGAGTTCCCTGTTGCCATGGATGCTTCATGAAGGCAAAATTTCTATTTCACAAAAGACATGGGATGTCTGACTGAGCTGGATACATTTTCGGATTCCTTCAAACCGTGAAATCTTACGATTCTATAACATTTGACAGCACATGTAGAAAGCTAAGGAAATCAAAATATCATGTTAATATCATAACAGAGTCATGCTGCCTTTGGACAAAGACCCTATAATGATAACCTTACAAGTTCATTAGTTCTCACCTCAGCAGAGGCCTGGTTCTTCTCTGGGCTCCTTAGGGCAAATCATCCAAGCCTGTTCAGCAGGGAGAAAACATCATGCCTCCACCTCCAAGCCTGAAGGAACTCCCTCCCGCCTAGCGCCTAGCGTAGTGCTCAGCAGACAGCTTGCTCCAGCCCTGAGGCCTACAGGGCATCATGCCTCCACCTCCAAGCCTGAAGGAACTCCCTCCCGCCTAGCGTAGTGCTCAGCAGACAGCTTGCTCCAGCCCTGAGGCCTACAGAAACGGAGGCAAGAATACGGTGCTGTGGCATTTGAAAGGACATCTTAACCAGTGCTCTAAGTTTTGGTGGTCAAGTACTAGTCAGAGCTGGAGGAAGTGGATGGTTGTGCCCTTCTCTACCCTATTACTCCTTAGCTCTTGTGGTGGGCTTCAGGGATTTACATTTGAAAGTCAAAGTTTGTGTTTTTCTGTGGCAGAAACTGTTCTCAGATTGTGCTCAGTGCAGGTGAAATGCCCCCTCCCTCTGCTGCCCCATGGCTGACTGCCCTGCTTGAGTTTTGTTGTTTGTTGATATGATTCACCTGTAAAGTTTTCATGTGCTTCTTTCTGGCTTCCCAAGCTCCTGACCATTGTGTCTGGGTTACGCTTCATTGTACAAGGCTTGCCAAGAAAATTGTTTCCAGAAAGGCAAAATGTTCTTTGTGTGTGTGTGTGTGTGTGTGTGTGTGTGTGTGTGTGTGTGTGTGTGTTCCCTTCATGCAGTGCCGCACTCCACAGGACCAAAGCCAGCACTGAGGAGATAACTGGGCAGGTGGGGAGGAGGGAGACAAGTAATTGAAAGGTTGAGAGCATGGGCTGCCTTTTCAGACTCCAGGTCGGCTTCATTCCTGACAGTGGAACATGATTGCATAGCTTTCCTTCAGTTAACGAATCTCTCTGTCTTACAGTTTCCTGAAACAGAAAAGGGGAGCAATGAGATCACCCTAGGGCCAATGTTAGGTTAAGTAACCTATGGCATGTATCTACGCACTCCATAGATGTTAGGTATTATTATTATCACCATTTTGAGAGGTTTCGATATCAATATGATACTGGTAAGATTGTGGTTTGTGAGGGCCAGAAACCAGCTGTGATGTATAAGAAAACTAAACTGTAATAAAAAACTCATGGAGCTGGTCCCTGCAGCGGGACTCAAGCAAACCAGATGAGCCGCTGCTTTCCAGGCACACAGGTGACTTGAACTGAGTGAGGAGGCTGACTTACATTAGCTGCCCTCTTGTTTCTTCTTTTTAAAGATATTTTTATTTGTAGAAGTGTTTTGATTACTTGTATGTATACTGCTATGTGTGTAGTGGCCTAGAAGAGGGTGACAGAGTCACGTGGGTACTGAGAATCAAATGAACCTAGGTCCTCTGGAAGAAAGCAAATGTTGCTAATGCCTGAGCCACCTCTCCAGCCCCTACTTGGTATTTTTTTCCTGCCTATTTTTCATCTATTGTGTGGGTTAGAGTCAATGTTGCAACCAAGCACCTGTCTCAGCTTGACTCTGGCCCTGGAGGATGGAGAGGGTCCTGCAGGAAGCCAGGCCCAGCAGCCAAAACATAATCCATGTTCCCCACCCCCTGCAGAGAGTGGACATCTAGGTGAATCTGTAATCACTTAACACTCTCAGCTTCTAGGCTCCTCAGAGGGAGAGGGGGGTGAAGGTGCCTACTGCTAGGCTAATGTTGAGAGTCACATGGGCTGGCACATCTATGGAACCATATACTACAATGTCAGGCACTTCTGTTATGCTGTGAGCAGTTCCGCACTGTTCTCAGGGCTATGCCGGGGGGAGGACGCTAGTGTGTGCAGCAGGTTTTCCCTTAGAGTCAAACAGCTGGCAGGGTGACTGTGAGACTTCATCCCTTCTCTGACACAAAGCCTTCTTAAGGGCTCAGGGTCTAGCCTAGAGGACAAACAGCAGTCATGGCCAGGAGGGGTATCTTCTGGAATCTGGTAGAACAGGAATTTCTCCTCTACCCCTCAAAGGATAGGGTAGTGGTGCACCTGATTTCTCAATGGACCTTATCAAATTTTCCTCCTAGCTTTGCCTGGCGTCTATTGTTTATCAGGCCCTAGTTAATTCTTTTCCTGACTTCTTTCTGGGGCATTCTCTAAGCTGCACTTTTTTTTTTTTTCCTTCCCCTCCAACCACAAAGCCTCCCTTAGGGACAGGGTGGAGGAATGTATAAAAGCCCAGCAGAGCTCTTCCTAGGCGTCTTCCTTCCTTCTACCTGCTGACTTGCTGCCCCACCCTCACAGAGGCATCATGCTCTACAAGGTCCTGATGCTGTCTGCCCTGTGCGCCCTGACGGAGGCTTTCCCCAGTCTACCCATAGGTATGTGCACCTTGAAATCCTTTGGATAAGGTAGGTTAAAGGCATTTTCAGTGTGTGTGTGTGTGTGTGTGTGTGTGTGTGTGTGTGTGTGTGAGAGAGAGAGAGAGAGAGAGAGAGAGAGAGAGAGAGAGAATGATAATGATGAAAATTGTCAGTGGAAATTGGGCACTGCTTCAGGGCCTTGAGCAGTGACTGACCTGTTGTGAGTTTGAACTGACTTCATAAAGATAATAAGCTAGACCGGATACGATCAGGGTGGAAAGGCTGAGATTTTCCTGACATCCTATTCTCACTGAATATCAAAGATATGATTCTGTTTAATTAGAGTAAAGAGCTGCCCCCCCAACTTCACAGTGGGGTATACTTAGTGTCAGAGCATGTGAACAGTCAGCTGGGTCGCAGACTGTGGACATCCATGGGGCTGGGATGGAAACTTGGATCAAGTTGAAGAAGGAAAGAAACAGTGTCCTTAGGAGTCAAGGAGAAGAAGAAACTTCCAATCCCAAAGCTTTCTCATCTAGGTCCTCCAGAACTCAGGCTGATTTCTCCGGCGAGCTGATCATTCGAGTATGTGAAAATGACCCCTTTCCCTTGCTGCCCCTGTAGGCCCTTCCTCAGATAGCTCTCTGTTTCTGAGCTTCTGGCTGGGCTTCCTCACTGTACATGAGTGTTTGATGAAGGACATGAGGATGGGAGAGAGAGAGAGAGAGGACAAGAGAGAGAACTAAGAGAGAGAGAGAATGAATATTAACATCTTTTGGCTCCTGGACTGGGTGTCAGTTCCTGCCACAGTGAGACTCCCAAGTCTTTCCTCCACAGCTCTGAGACCTGGTCTAGTGTATAGCAGACTCACATGGTTGTGAAGGTTATGAGGGTAATTGCCCCAGGACAAGAGGGCTTAGTGTTCTCAAGATGTGCTGACAATGGGGTCCTGAACATAGGCTGTTAAATAAAGGAGTGGAGCATTTTAGGGTTGATTACATTCTTTTAAAATATTTTATTTATAGCTGGACATAGTGATACATGCCTTTAATCTTAGCATTCGGGAGGCAGAGACAGGTGGCTCTCTGTGAGATCTAAGCCAGCCTGGTCCCTGTGGCTACAGGGAGACCCTATCTCCAAAAGACCAAAAAAGTTTCTCTATTTATTATTTTTATGTGAATGAGTGTATTTCCTGCATGTATGTAAGTGCACCGGTGTCGTGCAATGCCTGAGGAGGTCAGAAGAGGGTATCAGATCACTTGGAACTGGAGTTAAGATGGTTGTTAGCCACTATGTGGGTGCTGGGAATCGAACCCGGGTCCTCTGTAAGAACAGCCAGTGCTCCTAACCACTGAGCCATCTCTCCAGCCCTACATTCTTGGTTATACATAGGAGCAGCCATTTTTTCCTTCTCCTCTAACACCTGGCAGTTTCTTTGTAGCTTTCAGAACCAGGAAAGGATTATAGAGGTAGGTCTTGAATTTTTCTTCTGTTCCTGTCTGACCAGAATACAGATATAGACACAATACAAAAGCTTGTTCCTGAACTGACCCCTTGTAGGGGACTGGGGTGGGCTCTGAGCACGTGCCCTCCATGTAGTACAGTAGTGAGCCTACTGACTCTAGCTGTTGATAGAAAGGAGACTTTGGTGAGACCACACTGCCAGGTCACTTTATCCTTTCCCTTGAATGGAGGGCTAGCTAAGAACAGGGGGTGAGGGGTGGGGACATGCTCACTAGGAAAAACTTGAGCTATTTTTTTTTCCTGTTTCCTCCAGAGTCCACTACTGACCTGCTAGAATCAACTAGTGGAAACCTACTGGAATCAACTAGTTACCTACTAGATTCAACCAATTATAACCCATCAGACTCAACCAAAGACCTTCTAGAATCAACTAGTGATGGCCTACTGGAATCAACTAGTGATATACTAGACTCAACCAGCGATCAGCTACTAGATACAACTAGTGACCTACTAGTCTCAACCCACAATAGTTTACCAGAATCAACCAGTGACCTGCCAGAATTAACTGGTGAAATAGTAGAATCGACTATTAATCCAGAGATTTCTAATGAGGTGGCATTTACAGCTGGTCCAAAGGTTGACAGGGACAGAGATTCAACCACTGACCTAGAACAGATGACAGACCTAGTGTCAACCACGGATGTGAACCAGGAGAGCACACAGACTTCTGGTAAGTGAGGGTATGGCTGAAGGAGGGCAGGTGTTTCTGGGACCCCATCTTCTGCCTTCCCTAGGGCAAACCTGCTTTCCTCTGGTGTTCTAGATACCACTTTCAGCTAGTGACCACACCTGTATTCTGTTTTGTTTTCCCAGGGTCCTCTGCTGATGTCGAAACAGTCACCATCAGCTTTCTGGAAGAACCCAGTGAGGCCACAGGTAGGAGCACTTGTCTCTAAACATGCAGAAATTCCTCCCTGTGCCTCTTTCCTCTGCCTCACAGTTTAGGATTGTCCTCATACTGGAAAACTTGCTGTTTTGACCTCTGAGGTGGAGTATACTTTTACCAAAAGTTCTTTAAAACTTGAGGAAAAATGTGTACTGTTTCCAGAACATTTTCAGCAGAAGACATCTGTTGACTATAACAGCACTCCAGCCCTGAGGACTGGCACTGGATCTTAGGAACCCACCCCTAAGCAGCTCCAGAGGACCAGCTCCTTGGGTGTCCATAGGGTTGGAGATGTGATTAAGAGAATGGGGCTAGCTAATCATCTCCTTTTCTCTTCCAGATGATCACAATACATTCCAGACAGACAGCTTCATGAGTGAAGATTCTGGTAAGTGTAAATGTCATTTGAATTTAGACTGAACAAAAGAAGAAAGAATTTAAATCTTCATGTCCATTCCCTTCCACAACCCTCTACATTTTAAAATTTCCCTAGCTTCCACTTAGTGAAGAGTTTATAAATGTTCATTTTTTCCCTTCCTCTTAGACAAACCCTAATAGTTTGAGGAATGTGTGAGAATTTTGCCTTTCCTTCAAAAGCAGCTTTCTAAATAATCTGGTTATGTCTTTGAACAATAACCTCATGATGTCATAGCACTGTATGAGGGGCACTGGAGAGCTGCAGGTAGTAACTGCAGGAATCTGGAGGTTGTACTTTTATGGAGGCTGAAGATCTCATTAAAATGGGGTTGGTTCTCTGGCTTTAAAAATGTGAAAGTATTTTCTTCACATACTTCAATTGCACAATGGAGCTGTTTCTCTGTATTGTATCCTAACTTCCTTATCTCTGTGGTTCATTAAACAATAAATGTCTCATGTTTTACAATTCACAGACTATGAGGAGGATTCTCATATTTGATCACAAGAGCAGGAAGCAGCCTCATTGCCCAGACCCGGGTAGTCATTTCTGGAAACATGATCCACCTGCTTCCATTCTGCCTATTAGGGAATAATTTCTGGCTTTTCTTGGTTTTACGAGAAAACCAAGCTTCCATCTTTAGTAGGAAGAGAAAATCAGGAGGTTGCTTTTTAAAAATTATTTTTGAGAACATGGCCTCATTATGAAGCTCTAGCTGGTCTGGAACTTGCTATGTAGAGCAGGCTGGCCTTGAACTCACTGAGATCCACCAGTCTCTCCCTTCTAAGTGCTAAGATTAAAGGCATGCACCACTATGCCTGGCTCTTAAACAGCTTTTTAATTTTTCAGATTTATTTCTAATTATGTGTAAGTGTGTGTGTCTTTGTGTAGGTATATGCACATGAGTCTGGATTCCTACAGAGGTCAGAGGCATTGAATTCCCCTGGAGCTGGAGTTATAGCGGTCGTGAGCAGCTTGACACGGGTGCTAGGAATCCAGTTTTTAACCACTGGGACACTTCTCTAGCTCACGGTGGTTTTCAGTTAATGGACTTCTGCCCTCATTAGTACACTGAAGTAATAGAAAGCCAAGGATCTTTGCTTTTCCCTCTTCTTGGCCTTTGAGTGGTCTGACTGTGGATTTCAGAACAGACTCAAGAAATAATGCTTTGCCACTCTTCCTCTGTTTCACCCCTCTCACCTGGGCATCATGTTCAATCAGCTAAAGATAATGCTGGGGAGAGGAATACAGTAACCACACGTGAAGGCATGCCCAGGTCAAGGCTGCTCTTAGGAACTTGTGATGGTGAGTGAACACCACACCTTTTGCAAAATCCTTCTGGTGGAGCTCACTTACAGTTCACTTCCACTGGAGTTTAGCTCTAGTGGAGTGCTTTGGAGGAGAGGAGAAAGAAGGCTGTTCATACAGGGTAATTGTAGCCCCATACTGACCAAAGCTACTTGAAGCTGTTACAATTAATTACAGCACAATTTCTTTATGTCATAGCAGACCAGATCAGCACCTCCACCGAGAGAATTGAGTTCTCACTGTATCCTTGTAAGTCTCTTCTCTTTTATCCCTGACACCTTTCTACAGAGTTGATATTCTATTCAATGCTGATTTTAACTCCCTGAGAAAGGAAGGATTCCAAACTTAACATGTTCAACGATGAGATCAACGAGAAAATATAATAAAGTTAAAGATAAGCCCTTTCTTATCCCAAGTCTTTTTCCCCATCCAGTGATCTGGATCACCAGGCACACAGGACAGGATAGCAGAGCCCTCTCCCTTGAGTAGCTGTAGACTCTTCCTTTCTTTCTCTTTAGGGTGTGGAATCCAGTCCAACCCATCAATGTTAGCCAAGCCACCATGTTTTCCAATCTATAGAATATACAATTCCATCGAATACCTGAAGGGCCCTGAATCAGGAGTTTCAGTTTTAATACCTCCTCTCTCTTCGATTTTTGTTTTGAATTCTCTAAAGTGGTTTCTTCTTAACAATAGAATAAATATCAGCACAATGTGTAAACTTGAAATGTAAGGCACAAAAAGAGGGAGGGAGGATAAAGAATTATATCTTAAGAAATCAAAGCCCATGCCTAAGTTTCCAGTGCTAAGTAACAAAAGACTGGCCTGATCTTTTCAGTACTAGGCTCTTTTGGTAATGTTTATTTTATTTATTTTTAACTTAGAGAATGAAGCAGTGTTTCCATTAGCTTCGACTATCAGTGCGATATCCCCAACTTTCTGAGAAGACATCAACTTTGGAACAAAGCGCACCACTATCCTCCTGGATATTGTGCAATTATAGAAAACGATGTAAGTGCGGAATCCTTCCGACTGAGGAGAAAGAGGAAGGAAGAAGTCTTGAATGAGGGCTGTGGTATATTGACCATGGTTGGACAGGCATTTCTGAGCTCTGCCTTTACCTTGTGTGGGCTTAATAAATGTTCATTGCAATTGTGTTTTGAGAGTGTTTTTTAATTTCTGAATGGAAAAACTTGCTTAGTTGCATTATTCAACACTCAAAATAATTTCATCCCTCTGCTTTATAAACAGGATCCAGAACATGGCATGCACCATAACAATATATGAAACATATTAATTTTCTTTCTTTTCTTTCTGAATCGAATTTACAAACCTAGAGATTGACTTTAAGTATTTTAAATTGAAGAAAACTCTGATAATTCTTTGATGGAATTGAATTGGCTACTATGTATTTGTAGGTTCCAAAGAGTATAAATGTATGTCTATTTATGTGTGTAAAAACAGACAGCTTCATAATATGGAACATTTGTTTGTTTGGGGTTTTGGTCTTTGAGACAGGGTCTCTCTATAGCTCCAGCTGGCCTTGAACTCACAGAGATTCACCTGCCTCTGCCTCCCAAGTGCTGGGACAAAAGCCGTGCACCACCATGCCTGGCAAAACATATTAATTTTCTAATTGTTGCTATGACATGTAGTATGCACTTAATGCCTAAAAGCAACATGGTTTTGTAGCTCAGAAATCTGAAACCGGAACCCAGCATGGTGGTGCACACCTTGAATCCCAGCACTCAGGGGGCAGAGGCAGGTGGATCTCTGTGAGATGGAGACCAGCCTGGTCTACATGGTGAGTTCCAGGCCAGCTGGGGTTACAGGGAGACCCTGTCTCCAAATGACCAAAAAAAAAAAAAAAGTCTGAAATGGGTCTCACTGGGTTAAATCCATGTGTCAGGGCTGAGTTCTCTTCTGCAGGCTGTAAAGAAGGATCACTTTCTTGTCCACATTCCCAGGTCCTCTTCCATCTTCAGAGCCAGGAATGGCCAGATGAGTCTTACATCCCACATACAGTGCTGTAGAGGCAACTGCCATGAAGTGTGATGACCTGAGTTTGATCCCCAGGACCCACATGGTGAAAGGAGATAAGCGATTTCCTCAAGCTGCCCTCTGGTCTGGGCATGCTCCCCCCCACTCCCCGCCCCGCCCCAAGAAATCAACAAAAATATGATTAAAGTCAACTGACCAACAAATCAGCTTCACCACTGCCGTGATTTAATGTAATCCCTGGTTCTGGGAATTAGAAGGTGCTTATCTTTGGAAAGCCGTCAGTAGACAAGACAGACATTGTTCTCCCTGTTTGTTTCAGTGTAGGAAGACACAGTTCCTAGGCTGTTTTTATGATTACAGTAGAGTTTTACAAAAAGATGCACAGCTTATATGAAATTTCACATATTTGTACTTTGAAACACAAACACATCAGTGTGATGGGGCAGTGAATCATTTAGGTGGTCCATGGATTAGGGAGTGAGGAGGAATAGGTTCCAAGTATGACCACATTACTTACTGTGGTTGACTATGTAGGAACCCAGCTTTCTACTGTAAAATGATCAGTTATACCCGATCAGTTTGAAAGTTCCTTTTTGCCCCTTGATTTACTGCAGCAAAACCATGCCAGTGTTTGGGATAATTAAGTTTCCCAGTTACTAACTCGATACCTTGTTTGTTCATCAAGTGGCTTTTGTGGAACTTGCCTTAAATCCCTTTTTTTTAAAGAATATTTTATTTACAATTTTTTTATTTTATGTGTATGAATGTTATGCCTGCATGTAGGTAAGTGCACCCATGTTGTGCAATGCCCGCAGAGGACAGAAGAGGATGTCAGATCCTCTGGAACTGGAGTTACGGACAGCTATTAGCTGCCATGTGGGTCCTGGGATTTGAACCCAGGTCTTCTGCAAGAACAGTTAGTGTTTTTAACCGCTGAGCCATCTTTATTGAGCTGATGAGATTGTACTAGAAGAGCACACTGGGTTTTATTATCAGGTCCTTGGTCTCAGGATTTGTCTTCTAAATGGAAGGCGTCCCAAGTGCTCTGTGGCTGTCCTTAAGATTGTAAGACATTTCTATTCTGTCAGCTGCTAGTTTCCCTTTCTTCCTCCCATTGGTAATTTCATACAGATTTCAGGGATGGAATTTCGTGGTGGACTATGAAGATGATTTATGGAATGGAGACAGAAAAAGGGCTGGTGGACTGAGGTAGGCACTCAGTATCTATCAAAGATAAAAAATAGATTTCTTTCTATTTGCTATACCCACTAAAAGTGGCTTCTTGAGGAATGATGGTGCCGTGCTGCATCTGCACCCAAACATCTGGTCCTGGTCTGTGTGGCACCTATATGAGGCCCTCTCAGGAAAAGTGTAGCTATGAGGAGTTACGAGGCCCTTGGGACAGCCTTGTGGTCATAATGCCCGAGGAAAAGGTGAGGAAACCTTTCCTACCACTGTACTTGGAAGAACAGCTTCCACTGTCAGCTCACCTGTGCCAGCATGACTGAGCGCAGGGATCTTTTTGTGGTACTGGGGATGGAATCTAGGGCCTCACAGATGCCAGGCAAGTACTCTACCACTGAGCTACATTGCCAGCCTTTTTTTTTTTAAAGAAAAATATTTGTGTTGTTTTTATTTTATGTGTATGAGTATATTACCTGCATGTATACAAGTGCACCTGTGTCATGCAACACCCGTGGATGTCAGAAGAGGGCGTCGGATTCCCTGGAACTGGAGTTAGGGACAGTTGTTAGTCACCAAATGAGTGCTGGGACTAGAACCTGGGTCCTCTGTAAGAGCAGTCAGTGTTCTTAACTGCTGAGCCATCTCTCCAGTACCTCCAGCCTTCTTTTCACTTTTTTTTTTTGGTGTTTTTGAGACAGATTCTCCCTGTAGCTCCAGCTGGCCTGGAACTTGCTATGTAGACCGGGCTTGAACTCACAAGGATCCGCTTGCCTCAGCCTCCCAAGTGCTGGGATTAAAAGCATGAGCCACTTGCCAGGCTCTTTTCACTTTTTATCATGAGATGCTATCTCATAAGTTATCCAGTCTAGCCTTGAACTCACTCTGTGGTCCAAGTAGGCCTTGAATTTGTAATCCTCAGGCCCCAACTTCCTACGTTGCTCATGTATGTGTTTATATGTGTGCACATCCATGTTGAGGCCAGAGAGCAATGCTAAGTGTCTTCATCAGTAGCTTTCCACCTTAAATTTTTGGGACATTTCTCACTGAACCTGGAACTTATCAATTCAGCTAGACTGGCTAGATAGCAAACTACAGTCCTTCTCCACTCTAGTGTTAGGGTTATAGATGCATGCCATCATGCCTGACTTCCCCCACTCCATATATATATAGATAGATTTTTAAAATTATATATAATTATATTATATATAATTATATTATATTATATTATATAATCATATAATTATAATTTATATATGTATTTATATATA